TGCCTCTAATTGTTTTTTGAAGGACTCGTTGTCATTGCCAAACAGGGCAAATGTGGACTTTTTGTCACGTGTCTTTACAAATACGTTGCAAACGGAAACAAGAGCATCTTTGTATACTCAGCTCAGACTCTTCTAGATCCAAATAAGCTTCTGGGTTTAAGTGCTCGATGGGTTCCTGTAGGATGTTGAGAGGATATCCGAGGCTTGGTGAAAGGCCAAGTTGAGACCAAGTCTGGAAAAACCTCGTAAAGTCACCTTGAGTTAGGACTATTTACTATTCCCAGGCTCGGGAAAGTATTCCATCCGAAAACTTCCTGGAAACCCCCTTTGTCCCACTTTGGGTAAGTCAAATGCATAAACTGCATGTCATACTTCAGACACACACGATCACAGTCTGAACATTTCTTATTTTGTTTTACAGGCAGCCTGTTACAGCACCGTTTTATTCTGCAGCTGCGGGGCACGATTGTCCTCCCGCTGTACACAGAAAAAAGCACAATGACATCGGCTACGAAAGGACACTGACCATTATTTTAAAGGTTAAAAAAAGCAGATGGAGCTTATATTCACCTGCTATTTTTACACTGATTTCTAAACACCCAAGCATCCCGGTAAAGGTTACCATTGTGCAGCAGCTCAGAGGGTGGCTGCAAAGTGAGACACGGCAAACGCTTCATTGTTTAGTCCTGCGGAGATGCTGCAGGAGCTTCCATTATGACGAAACCCCTCAGAGACCATCAGCACAATGCAACATGGATCATCACGTGCTCGAACATTCTGCATGCTTTGTCGCTCGCGCCACAGCGATGAAAGAAAGGCCCCATCAGAGTTTGGGCCTCGCATGGTGACCTCTGCAGGGTCCCGCTGCAAAGGCTGTGTGTTTGTTGAATTGCTGGATGGGAAAAGACTCGGCTGGCACTGAGCTGCAGCTCAGTCTGGAATACTGTAATCCAAACACCAAAGATATTTCCAATTGCTTTGATTTATATTTGGGGGCATGGCTCGTTTCTGGGAGGAGAACCGGGGACAGAGATGGTTGCAAATCAGCTTGCAAAGGTGCATCTGCAACTGTGAGCAGGCTGAAGCAGCTTAAACTGTGTGCTAGGGCTGCACGATTAATCGTTAGAAAATCGCGATCTCGATTCATACTTATGTGCGATCTCATTTCCAAATGACAACGATTAAAAAAACCCCCAAAACACCCAAACATCAATAACGGGAACCTTATACAACGCTTCCCTATACACGTCGAACTCCCGCAGGCACAAAGAAATTACGGAGGCTATTACTTATCACCTGACCAAAGATATGGCTCCATCAACACTGTGCAAAACGAGGGATTTAGGAAAATGATCAACACCCTAGACAAACGCTACACAGTGCCGTCCCGCAACTATTTTTCTATTGTTGCACTACCTGCTCTATACACGCAGTGTCGAGCAACGGTGGAGACGGAATTTCAAGCAGTACAACATTTTGCGGCAACAACAAAACGTGAGACATTTGTTGTTTTTATGTTTATTTATTGTTTTTATGTTTATTTATTGTTTTTATGTTCAGTCTCAACTGTTACGAAGTTGATGTGCAGTTAATAAGTGCAATAAATATTTATACTGGAAAAGAAAATCGTGAGAGAATCGTGATCTCAATTCTAAGCCAAAAAATTGTGATTCTCATTTTATGCAAAATCGTGCAGCCCTACTGTGTGCCTTATATGAGAGTTTGCAGTCAGATGTGTAGAAGCCATCAGCTGATATGAGATTGACTTTGAACCCTGAGTTAGTTTATAGTTAAACGAGTGGTTAGCACTTCTGCCTCAGTTTGAGGAGCTGGTGGAAATGTGGAAAAGGAGAGATGTTCTTTATATTTTCAATCAAATTTAGATGTAAATGGATGTTTTTCTTCTTTTTAGCTTGAATTTTTTTTAAACCTCAGCATTTTCAGGCAGTATCGGTTAGACAACTGGTAGAGCCGTCCTTTCAGTGGGTTTTCAGCATCGGCATTATTTAACCCACTGGGCTGTGATGGGCAGCAGGTCTTCTAAAACAATGTACATTTTGTTTCCACGTGTTCATGAAAATGAAGGCTTTGGATGCACAAACCATCTAGGAATTTTTGGATGAGTGAGTAAAATCTCTAACGTGGATACAGGGGGACGGATGCAGAGCTGTGTTGGTGAAGGCAAACTTACACACAGGACGTGCAAGGCCACGGCTCCTTCTGTCCTCTCTTTGTTCGTGAACAGGTCCGTAGGGAACTCGTGCAGAGCTGCAAGAGACAGAAAGCCAGGATCAGGACACGTCATATACAGTAACGCTCGGTGGGTTTTATCAGAGGATGGTGCACAGAATATGCTTCCAATGCTCTGCAGAAGCTTAAACTCGGTCCCGTCCAGAGAGTTACTTAAACTTAAACCAAGCATGCGACGACCGTCAAACTGTGTCCTCCCAGGCACTGCGCACGAGTCCCCTTCCTCAGAGAGAAGAGTGAAAATGGAAAACAGTAGGAGGACGAAGAGAGGGCAAAGAGGAGAGAGCACCGTAAAAATAGAGCACGGGATATTTAAGGTACAGCAAGTGGGATGGAGAGCAAAGAAGAGAGAAAGAGTGATGGGAGTTTAACCACAATCTTTCAGCTTGAGAATGTGAGTACGACGGAGGATCAGCTGTGTGTGAGCACAAGGAAAAGACAGAGAGAACATAAAGGAGGGGTTTGGCCTTAAAAGGTGGCTGGGGTTATTCCACCGCCTCTCTCTGGCTTCCTCACCGACTCTCTGAGTGACAGGCACTCGAGTGCCGGCGAGAGTCGAGGAAGTTCTCCTTCTCGCCCCTTAAGCGTCGAGTCATCCTTGTCATCATCTCCACCCACACAAACCAGAAGTCACTGCTAACATGTGTTACATATTTGGGCGACAACAGGGGAAAGTTGGACAGCTATCAGGCACAGATTTGGGCTATCAAGTGCTAAGCCATGAGAAATCACAAAACATCCGAAATATTTTACTGATTAGCTTCAAAGAGTCAAGTAAAAACGCACAGTCCTATATTTTCATGAGATTTCATTCATGTTTGGTTTTGAATCCCAGAGACCGCATTACATTCAGCATATGATGATGATATAATAATGGAGAAAATGTACAAATTAGTGAATAAAAAAAAATCAGGAGAATGTTTCAACTACTTGTGATTGGCTGGTTTGCAACAGCTTTGGAATAATAACAGCCAACAGGCTGTTTTGGATTGATGTGTGGGCAGTGTTGGGAAGGTTACTTTTAAAATGTATTCCACTACAGATTACAGAATACATGCCCCAAAATGTATTCTGTAACGTATTCCGTTACGTTACTCAATGAGAGTAA